GGTCATCTTCGATATCAGCAATTAGTACTGCATCATCGGCATAGCATAGTATCGTGATTTTATGCGCACCCATGTGGTATCCGTGTCGTTTTCTTACTTTGTGATTTATTTGATTCATTACTACATTGAATAACAATGGGCTGAGCGAGTTTCCTTGGCGGATTCCTCCTTTTAGTTCTATGCATTCTGTTTCTCCTGTTAGCATTATACCTGTGGTCTTGTTGTTCTTGGTAATTTTATCATTTTAGAAACTGTAAATGTTGTTCTGCAAAATGTCTAATAAATAATTCACAATAATGTCTTACATTATCTAAATGTTCTTGAACTTGAGCGTAATTGTCTTCTTTTTTCCTTTTTTGCAGCCTTAATTAAATAGTCTTCTTGTTGATCTAGATCAGTGGTTCTCAACCGGTGTTCCGCGGAACACTAGTGTTCCGCGAATTCCTTCCAAGTGTTCCGCGAAATACTCGCAATCCTACATACCATTTTGCTAAATTACTCTTTTCAAATAAATATTTTCAAATTTTAAAATAGCCACTTACGTACATTTTAATTTAATAAAATTCTGCAGCGTAAATGTTCATTTGCCCAACGTGACAACACCGCGTCGGCACAGTGCACACGTTGGATTTTATAAGCGCTGAGCGCTGAGCTCCGCAGTGGCCACAGCCAATCTGAGTCACCCACGCCACAGTCTGCAACTGAATGTTGAATTTGTTACATTGCACAAACGTAATACGTGAAAATCGCTGTGTCAGTTTTTTTATGATAACGTTTACGTACGGCTTATCTATCAAAGGTAAGTAATTGCATATTTTATACAAAATGTGAAGCATTCATCCGCATTATTTTGTTTAGAGACGAATAAATTAAAATGGATAAGTTCCTCAAACTTAAAAGAAAAACTACTGTGGAACAACTCATAATTAATGATGATGAAGCGAGCACCAGCGGAGATACTGGAACTTTACGAAGTGGGGTTGATGACAAATCGAAGCGCAGCAAAAAAATGTTGAACGGCAATATTTGGATGAATATTGGATTATGGCTGATATGGCTGGAATAGGCTCAATCAGTGTTTTTTGCTGAGGAATCTTGTACGATGGTGCACGCTTCAACAGGTCAGGATGTATTGATCCATAACAGGTTTTTGTACCCTTGCAAAAAAGCGAAATGAAAATATCATATCTACGCACTGTTTCTTGCATAGAGAATCTCTAATTTCAAAAACGCTACCAGCTACTTTGAAATCTGTATTAGACCAAGTGGTTAATGTCGTGAATTACATCAAATCAAGACCACTAAAAACCCGTCTTTTTAAACAACTCTGCATCTCAATGGAATCAAAGTATGAATGTTTGTTGCTGCACACCGAAGTTAGATGGTTGTCAAGGGGCAAAGTATTATGTCGAATTTATGAACTTAGAACGGAGCTGTTAACTTTTTTCCAAGAAGAAGGTAATGACACATTTACCACATATTTTGAAAATGATGCATGGTGCACTAAAGTGGCATATTTGGCCGATATTTTTAATTATTTAAATGGCGTTAACTCAAGTATGCAAGGCAAAAATGAAAATATTTTAACATCCACGGACAAGCTGTCAGCTTTCCAGAAAAAATTGTCATTTTGGAAGAAGCGCATTTTAGAGACAAATAAAATGGATATGTTTCCACTGCTTCAGAATGAAGGTGATGAAGATAAAGAACAAGAAATCACGCATATAGTTACAGAACACTTATCACTATTAGAGGAGACAATTGCCAGGTATTTTCCATCTCTGAACGTAGAAAAATATGACTGGATAAGAAGTCCTTTTAGCACAAGTAATACAGCCAATTTCCAGTTTTCTCTGAACCAAGAAGAAGAATTTATTTCGTTGTCATCTGATCGTACTCTGAAAATTAAGTTTTCAGAAGTGAATGTTCAGGAATTTTGGATCTTGGTCCAAGAGGAATATCCACTTCTTGCCAAAAAAGCGATTAGTATTTTAATACAGTTTTCAACGTCCTATTTATGTGAATTTGGGTTCTCATCTTTAACAAACATTAAAAATAAGAAACGGGAAAGGCTGCTAAACTTAGAACAAGAAATGAGAGTAGCTCTTTCCCACATCAGGCCTGATATTGAGCAAATTTGCAAACGACACCAGGCACAAGTGTCTCACTAATTTGAAGTATTTACTCATATGATGTATTTTGAGAATTACGCTTTTGTTAATTTTAAAAATGTTTTTTGTTTTCATATTTTAAGTAAAATTTTACAAATTTGAGTACGTATAATAAAGTTTATTACAGAATTTATGTGCTAATCCTAATTTGTTTATCAATATATGCATGTTATTGCTTTGGTGTTCCGCAATTTTTTTCGGTAATTAAAAGTGTTCCGTCGCCACAAAAAGGTTGAGAACCACCGATCTAGTCACTTTCAAATTTAATCTCATTTGGTTTTTTAAAATTGGAAATCATTGTTTCCGTACCCTGTATTGCCTTTCCACAACATTTTAACTGTAACCACTCTTCTTCTTAGGGTGCCTGTCCGTTCCGAACGTTGGCGATCATTCTGGCTATGAAGACGTTACTCTCAGGTTAGCAAGCCAGGATATTCTTATTCGTCCTGGGGCCCTTTTTCCTTCAATTTTACCTTGTAAAATGCATTGAAGTAGCTCGTATCTGCCTTGATTTCTTATTATATGTCCCAAGTACTGCAGCTTACGGTCCTTCACGATGTTGACCAAATCCGCAGTTGTGTTTCATTCTTCGCAGTACTTCTTCCTCGGTGACTTTGTCTGTCCATGGTGTCTTGAAGATCCTTCTGGATGGCCATAGCTCAAAAGCCTGAAGTTTTGATAGAGTTTTTTGAGCACTGATTACACATAGCAGTTAAGGAGCCCTATGTTTGTTTCTAGCGTGAGGTCATACCTCTTGAACACAGAACTCCTAGTCAAGAATGCACTCTTTACCTTTCCGATGCGACATTTAATCTCTTGGGTATTGTCCCACGACTCATTGATTATAGTTCCCAAGTAGTTGTATTGTGAGAGTTTTCCTTGCTGATGATCATTAGCTTGGTTTTGCTGGTGTTTATATCCAGTCCATATTTTCTACTTGTTTCCGTTATTTTGTTCATTAAGTTTTGCAGCCCTTCTATGGTATTGGAAAACACTAATGTATCATCTGCTATACCGCAGGTTATTGAGCTTGACTCCATTTATTGAGATGCCTTCATCAATATCTTTTAGAGCCTCTTCAAAAATGTGCTCCGAGTACAGATTGAATATCAGGATAAAACTATGCAATCCTGTCTCACTCCCCTAAGATTTTGACCTGATCTGTATATTCTCCATCTATTCGCATTATCACTCTCACCAACTGTAAAAATGGTAGAAACCTAACAACGTCTCCAGCTGCAAATCTTTGTAAGCCACTATTGTTAAGTATTGTTTGATCATTTACAGAACACAGCCATCTTGCAACAATATTTCTAATTTTAAGCTAGTCACTGATTCTTTGGACATTTAACTTGCATAAAATTCTTTTTGTGAACGACATATATATTTGTATCTGTGCCTCCATGAGAATAATTTCGTATTAAAGTACAGCTAATAGCTGCAGCTTTTCATCTTGGAAACCATAGAATGCCATAAAACTCTTCTTAAATTTAGACCATTTCATCATTTGTTTGATACATTTTAATGTACTGTCTGCTTAATGATATAATTGCTGTAAAATTCTTTAGATATTTCTTGAAGCTGTTGCCATCGATATATCCATATAGTCAGCTACTGATAATTTGTATGTTCCCAGAAGCAAAGAATATTAATTTTAATAATAACTTTCGGACTGGTGTAACAGCTTCTCCCTTAAAAATATGTACTGATAAATATTTTCTCTATATACATTTGGTTTGACTTTTTAATGATCTCTTATCAACCAATGTAAAAGCGATGACAAATTTTATTAGATCTTAATGGTACTACTTACATCTTTGTTAGGAAGTTTTATTAAAGGTTCGATCTGTTCACATAACTGTATCTTTTGTCAAAAGAATGCTGTCAAAGAACCATAAATCACCATATTAGTCTAAAAAATTAATTTTTTTCTGTAAACTTTTGAGCGTCGTACATATATACATTCATTTTCGGAAAAATCCGAACTTAAAGAAATATTCAGCATCATTTTAAATTTGAAAAAAAAAATAACATTTTAAACAAACTTGATGCAAGTCAAAGACATATACATATATTACCAGATATACTGCCTTCTACAATACAGTGGCGTTCCCCCAGTGCGACAGAGAAAACTGACGCAAAGCAGTCCCTGCGTATCTGTCTAATGGGCCTGATTTATCGACCACGTGACCTTCTGATTCATCATTTAGGTTTGCAACGATCAGTCTTATCTTATATTATATGTCTATGGTCAACGACGTTTGTCAGAATTTTGAGATTAAAATGAACTTCACAATTAATTGACAGATTTCTACCATTCAAGTTATTAAAGTTAGGTTGTAGTATTTTGAAACTGCAATTTACACTTTACTTTAAGTGTAAATGTTCACTTTAAATTGATTATGAAATCAGGCTTTATTAAACAGAAAATTTAATATTGTGATTAATTGGATGACATTCACATGTTGACTTTTAAATTTTTACTTTTCATTAACGGCGATTACACTTTCGTCCAAAATATATGTGTCATAAAAGAATGTATACATTTTCGTCCAAGCCTCTAAAATTGAGGTATACAAGTTCGTCCAAATGGTCAGCTAAATTTTCGTAATGCTTTTCAAAGAAACAATTAACCCATTAGTTTCGAACGTTGCGTAAAAAATTATTGTTTTTGAAATATGTTATCAACATTATGACTTCTTTTTTCATCACAATTGATTGTAAACGAAACAAAAATTACTTTTTTGATGAAATACTGTAAAAGGTTAGTTTAGGTTTTTCTGTAAAATTAAAATTTCTTGAAACTGGATTAAAAGTAAAATAGATATTAGGATTTTCTGTGAAATTGTATTTGGTTCTCGGTAATACATTTACGAAAAAGGATTATGTAATTAGTGAACCAGCCATTGACAAAATATATTCTCTGTAATTCTGTTTATGCCAAGGTAGTTAAAGAGATATTACATACAATGCTTTTCGAAGAAGCAATTAATATTAAATATATAAATATGTAGGAATCTTCAGAGTTTATTCATTTGTGAAAATATTCTCAAAGTGTTTATAGTGCTATAGTCTTGAATTATGTTATGAAAATTATTTATTCTTGAAACGTTATGGAGAATTTCGACAAACGTATGGTGGTGAAAAAAAGTGCAACGAAAAGAGGTGCTCCTCTTTTAATCGTGAATAACTATAAATTCAATTTTGCCGAAAAGTTAAAAAGTGGAAATCACGCTGGAGATTGTCGTACCAAAGGTTGTAACGCTGCCGTCTACACAATTGAGGATGATGTAGTAATTTCTAGACAAAACTTAAATCATTCTCATGAAAGTCTGGATGCCAACTGCATTCAACAACAGTTTGTAAGAGTAGCAGCTAAGCGTAAAGCTGCAGAAGATATAAGTACTCAACCCAGGAAAATTTTACATCGCGTTTTAAGTGAAGAAGAAAATACCAATTTAACTATTATGAATTTGAAATCAGTGAAACGAAGTATTTATAATGTAAGAAGAAAATTACTCCCAGTTATACCAAAAACGTTAGAAGAAGTACTGGAATCATTGGAAAAATTAGAGAACCATATCATCACGTCTAGAAATGAAAACTTTTTATTGGTAAATGATAAGAGTGCAAAATTAACTATTATATTTTGTGAGACAAATCTCAGACATTTATGTAAGTGTTCTAGAATATATATGGATGGTACATTTAAATATTGCCCAAAATTCTATTATCAAATGTTTACAATTCATGGATACTACAATGGCCACTACATTCCACTAGTATTTTGTTTATTGCCAGATAAATTATCATCTACATATGAAACATGTTTCAATTTGATAAGGACCAAATGTTCAGAGCTAACTTTAAACTTTCTTCCAAAAGATATTGTCATTGATTTTGAAAAATCAATTCATAAGGCTGTTAAATCAGTTTGGGGTCAATCTAAAATAATCGGATGTAGATTCCATCTTTCGCAGTCTTGGTGGCGTAAAATTCAAGAACTTGGCTTAACAAATGATTACAAAAACAGAACTGAAGTGGGAAAATGGATTGGTCATTGCTTTGGTCTTCTTTTTCTAGATCACCAAGAAGTCGGTGATTGTTTAGTTTTTGATCTAATCGAAATTATACCCGAGAGTGTCGAACTAAATGCTTTTGTTGATTATTTAGTTGAGACATATGTTGATGAATACTCAACATTTCCACCGATACTCTGGGCTGCAAAATCATCAGAAACTACGAGAACAACCAATGCATGTGAATATTTCCATTCACATTTACATAAATCCTTTAATACATACCATCCGAATAATTATTCGTGTTTTTAGAGGCTATCAATCAATATCAAAATGAGATCTACATTAGAATTCAAAGTATTCATAAATGTAACAGACCAAATAACAAAACTGTACCTCGTGAGAAATTTTTGAAAAGTAAAATAGAAAATTTTAATGAAAAAACTATTACTAGGCTGGAATATGTTAAATATACATCCCATTATTTTAGTTTTTAAGTAAGTTTATTATTATTTTGCTATTTATATTGTTGTGTAAGTTGTTAATGAAATTCACTAATCTAAGATAATAAATTTTATAACGCAGTAAGACAACTTTTTTTTAAATTATGGGATTGATCCCCTCGGAACTCTGGACGAAAGTGTATATGAAAAAATATTTGACTGGGACGAAAGTGTTATTTCTTCAGGTAAAAATTTAAGGTAAAACTGAACTCATTACGATATTCCGGACGAAAGTGTATCTGCTCTTCATTAAATGTCTGCATTTTGTTTATTTTCCATGAAATTTTTAATTTAAACCTGCTTAGAATAAATATATAATGACTAGAAATGAATTGATGGAGAGCAGTGAATCGATGTGAAGACCGGTATTCCATGACGCTAGTTCTGCGACGCCTGCCTCGGCATTTTACTATAGAGAAAAAGTAATACAACGCCAGTAATAGAAGCTTCGGTTCAAAAAAGCAAGCGCAAGAAATAACATCATCCGCAAACTAACTAATACAAAATAAGGACCATAACCACTAACCGACACCCATCAAAGAGATGTCGTTGGAATCCATAGTTAGCGATTCCATAGTCGGAATCGCTCCGCAACCCAACAGAAACGGTCACGTAACATAGTTATTGAAAATGGTGGACTGGTGACATTTTCTAAGACAATTTTAAATGGCAAGTAATACTTCATTTAAAGGCGCGTGTTAAGTTCTTCGTAACGACAAATTTCTTAATTTTTTAACAAATTTTATATATCTCTTATTAATGTTAATACACAATAGTGCATTTAATCATTTCCTTATGGAATATTGTTCAAAATGTTGTAGTTGCACAGTACTATAAGTGCTGATAAATGATGTTAATTTTGATTCTATTATAAATGACACGATATAGTTTAAAACTGTGCTTAAACAAAAAGTAAATTACTTTTATAAAAAAATTTTAATGAATTAAAAATTAAATTTTTAACTTTAACTTTTCAACTTTTAAATTAAAGCCTAAATTTTTTATTTTAGACAGCCAGAATGAAAAAGCAAAACAAAAGAGAATATAAACACAACGGAGTTGTACAGAAGATGATATAAACATTTAACATTTTTGTCTAAACATAGATTGAATTTCAACGAGACATGAATGCATTATGAACATATATCCCACATATTTATTAGTATTTCAGTGCATATAAAAATGTATAATAATTCAATAAAAAATACAATTAAAATAAATCTTCACTGAGGAAATGTTCTTGTTGTTAAGTTTAAAAGGAATAACCTTATCGTCATAAATTTTAATAAAAAATATTTTTTAAACTTACCCATTAATTTTACACAATTAAAATTAAAAATAAAATAAAAATGGGTTTATTTAAATTTTGTTTAGTTCTTAAGGCCAAATTTCTCATTTTAACACATATCTCTATGATCTGAACTTGCAGCTAAATAACACCTTTCCCTAAATATTTTCTTAATATTACGTCTTCTCTTCCTTCTCTTTATTGTACTTTTCCAACTCCCTCAAGAACTGAGCCTTAGGCTTCATAACGTTGGGTCGATCACCTCGGCATTTTGGACAGTACCACTTGCCTTTAGGCTTTGTAGATAATGTTACACACGAAAAATGAAACCATTCAATAGGACATAGATCATTATCACACATTATCATCTCTCCATAAGAAATTTGATCACAGAGACAATACGTGGGTTCATCTGGATCAATGACTGGTTCTTCATCTCTTGGTGGGGTTTCTTCTTTTTGTATTTGGGTATTTTGACGGGATTTGCGTTTTTTCTTTTTACCTAAAACAACACGCCAATTAAAACCATACACAATATTACTTATATATTTAATCAAATTAAATTAGGACAGAAAATTACCAAATTTACATTATCTAAAACATCAAAAATATTTTGAGGAAGATAAATACGAAAATACACTGTCTTAATGACGTCATACGGCGACAAAGTATTTAAAAATCCAACAAATAAATATCCAAGAAAACATTAATAAAACCTTTTAATTAAACGGCGACAACGCAACAATTGATAAAAACATTAAAAATCAACTTATAGAAAACAAAAACACAAATAGAAGGTAAGCCACTTAAACGAACTTTGACCTTTGAAACGGCATGTGAAACTTTTAAAATGTGCTTTGAAACCTTTTAAACAACATGTGAAACCACATGTCGTTGGTGTCCATATCATTCCATTCATTTCAAAATAAGTTGGTAATCATCGACCTATTATAGAGCTCGCCCGCAACGGTAATGGCCTAGACAACGTCGTTATTAAAAAAATATGGACCAATGACACCGCCAGCCTAAAATCCACACCAAACAGTGACTTTTCAGGATGCATTGGACTCTCTTGGATCCCATCTGGATTGTTATAGCCCCAAATTCAACAATTCAATTTGTTAACCTACCCATTCATCCAAAAATAGGCCTCATCGCTGAAGATGATCTTTCAATGAAAATTAAGGTCTGTTTCCAACTGCTCCATAGCTCATGCACTCCTAGGGTTTCTCCTATACACTCTCAGGGACAGCGGCGATGTTTTCGGCAGATCTTGCGTTTTCACGTAAGGGTATTGGTTGATTATTTACTGAACCTAAGGACTCAAATTTATCCACCACATAGAGAATAGTAAAATGGGCGAAGCGCACCCAATTTGACAGATGTAACTTAAACTATATTACTACCAACTGTCAAAGTTCGAAAGTCCCTATTGAAAGACCTTATATTTAGTTTTACTTTGATTTACCTGCAATCCTACCATTATATCATACTTCATAACAAAGATTTAATATGCAATAATAAAACCATTGTAAATAAATGGAACAAATGAGTTTTGGGAATGATTTACCACATGTACTATTATCATAATCAATATGTTCTCATCAAAAATAGTTGTGTAAATAATGCTATGATTTGAAAAAAACATGTATAGCTTTGAAAAATCAAACTACACTTATTATCAGCTTTGGAAAAACAAACAAAGTAGCTAATTATATTTTAGTGCTAGTAAGCTTTTCATTACAATGATCAGACTAGCAAAGGAGAAATTAGAAGAAGTATTAGAAATTGTTGAGAATAGGGCTCTGTTGTCCATAAGGAAAATTGACTTAGATTATAACAACTAAAAGTTAAATGCAAGTAGGGAAAATAATAGACTATAAATGTATTTGCAAAGAAAGACTCTGCAGATTTATAGAACCCAATGATCATGTAAAAGTTGTTTTATCATAGGATGTTAACAATATATTGGATGGATATCATACAGAATGAGGTTGTTTTCTCCGAATAAATAAAGAACTTAATAACAAAATCGAAAATTTAATATGATGGCAACATCTTAAACAATAAGTAATTCCTAAAACCTTGTTCCTAAAAGGCTTGTTTTATTTCTTGTCTGTTACGAAAATAAAGCATTCTTAGCAGAGAGGTAGTCATTGGCGCTAACTGGCGCCCATTCTTACATCTGATTTTGGTCAAAACCACTCCGATCCATTCCGCTGCCTGACATTGTTCAGCTCGCCACACACAACCTGTGTCACCCTTCTTCTTGTTAGTAGCTTGAAGGGTGAGGGTGAAAATGAGGTAATAAAAGTTTAAATTGTGCTGATGGTACCTAATCTTATATAAACGAAACTTAAAGAAAAAGAAAAAAGTCAGATCATAATTGTTTGGAAGTATTGTGAAAAAATATATTGTTACGTAAAAATTAGTCATATTAAAAAAAACTGTAAACATGTTGTTTATTCACTAATATATTGTAGATTCTACGAGACCCTTCGACTAGCTAGCGGAGATTCCAAGAACCGGTCCGTTCGAACGGTCCGGAAATACGGTAAATGAAAAAAAAACAGCCGAAGCCTTCCAGTATTTTCGACAAGGGTCGACATCCTTCTAGTCTGGTCAGAGGAATCGCCTGAACTCTCGAATAGCTGTATTTGATATAAATAACAGGATTTTTATTGTGGCCAGCAGTCAAAAAAAGAAGTCCGCGCTCGCGTTAAACTTGTATCGCACGTAGATAAATTATTAAGTGTAAAATAAATTAGTAGTAATAGACTTTGATAAATTTGTGAGTGTTATAAATATTGAACCTTTAGTAAATTAAAATAAGAACAATAAATTAGAATTAATAAAGACTTTAAAATATGTTTAAAAAATTAACCACCTATATCTCCAATATAAGAATATCCACTGACAATGGAAGCCAATTACTATTACTATACAAGCCTCAATTAGTAAAGGGATCACTATTAAACTAAGTGAGGGTAAATACAAGGTATAATTAAGAATTGAGTTCTAAATTGAAATATAAAGTAGCATAAAACACTTTAAAGTTAATTTGCAGAAAAAATTAAATAAACTTTACGGAAAGAGTGAAATTGATAATGACGCTGTCAATGAGCATGCACTAGCAACAATTTATAATAGTTACAATATAATTTTTTTATTGGTACCCCATTTTGCTTATTTAAAGTATGAATCAGCGTGTTTAAATCATTGAGTTAGAATCTATGGAGAGGGCATCACGTGACTAAAAACGACCTCACTTCGGCCATATTTTTAAGATTGTTTTGACAGATCGTATATGTTTGTTTATATTTGTTGTTTTTCGAATATTTTTAGTTTTATAATACTTTTATAGAAACTGTAATAATATATTGTGATAGTGATAATAATGGTTTTTGTTGTTCTCAACGTAGTTGCAGTAGCAGAAGCAATATTAATAAAAAATCTTCAGGAATAACGTTCCACAGGTTAGTATACAAATATGTAAACAAAGTAATGGCCCGTACTTCAGAGAATAAATTAATAGTATTTGACTGTATTAATTTATCTTTATGTATAATATATCGTGTATTTAGTGTTTACCGCGGGATAAATAAATCATAGTTTATTAAAAATGTATTGCACTTTTTAGATTATGATTAAATCTTCTGAATAACTAGTCATATTTGTATAGTAGTTTTAATATTATTGAGTCTGGCCCTGATGCCACCGCCATATTGGTATTATCGTTAGCCACGCCTACCTTCGCCGTTTTTAATACATCAGGGGTATAGGATCAAATCTGGCTACGTCCATCGTGCATGATTTGACAGGAAGTAAAAAAACACTCTCACTTTTGATGGCAGCAACTAAAATTTGAGAATTACTGTTAAAACAATGAAAGAAAAGTCACTCTTTATATTGGTATTACATTCAGCATACTACAAGAGCAGGAAATACGCTGAATTGATAGAAACTATTGGACGTAACCTGTTTTGATCCCAAGCGATGCACATAGCCATGTTTGATACCAACTTCACAGGACTTGACCAAGTTTGATTCCAACTGATTCCAACCTAATCTCACCGGCCGGACTCAGTACAATGTGTCAAAATACTGCGTATCATGAACATTATTTTTATGAGGTTTCCTCGCGCCTTGTATCATGTACCACTAGCATCACGTGTCACTCTTCAGCTGGTCAACTATTTATGTACAAAAATTAGGTTTTTTTTTATTTATTTGTTTAGGTATGTATATTTCTTACAGGCTAACAGTATAAAGCAACACAACTATAGTTAAAAGATAAAACTAAAAAAAATCTCTAACATATTTGTTTCAGTACAAATCATCACTTTAACATTATTATATCAACAAAAGCGGTGTTTCTTCTCTTGGTTCACATTCCAATTCTTCATTGTCATTTTCATTCTCAGCCAGAGTTTCATTAATGTTTATCACATCTGAATAGAAACTTAATTGTTCCAGGCCTTGCCAGTCGTCTCCAAAATGTTTTGATAGCAGATTTTTAACGTCCCTTACTTTTAATGCCTTTACAGGTATGTGTTGTATTATTTTTTTAGGAGCAATCATACTCATAATTTTAGATCTCCGACAAACATTTTCATATTTTCCTGATTGATTCCTGTAAAATCTCTCCGACTGAACCAACACATTTCCGATCCGCTTCGATCGTTTTAAATAGAATCTTTTACACTGCGCAAACTGTACTTTCCACTGTCCGGGGGGTTTCAGTATTGTTTCAGCTTCCTTTTTGAAATCATATACAATGAAATCTTCGCCTACTTTTACAATAGTTGCCTGCTGTGAAATGATATCGATGTACTGATTCGGGCTTAGTATTGTGTCCATTTTACGAAATTCCTTTTCACTGTTTCCGAACACTCTATCTGCTGGAAGATAGGAATGGCCAGTTACTGGAAACACCAGTTCTACTGTTTTAATAGAAGGATGTTCCAACAACCATTTGCAACACATTGTGATTATGGTGGAATTTTTATTCTGACCTCCGCAGCCGTCTGAGATCAGTCTAATGGTAGTTATATTGGTAAGATCCATCTTGTTTAGGTGGTTATACACTGCAGATGCTATTGTATTAGAATTTTTTGAGAAAGTGTTCTCTGTCCAGACATTTGCGAAAACGTTGTTTTTATTAAGTGGTGTCTTTGAAGTTCCTTCCACAATGGTGAAATTAAAAAGATATAATTGCCTGCTATAATAACACGATTGATCTGGTACTTTAGGAAGATTCATGTTTTTTTGGCAATCATAAGAAATTATTTTCAAACCCTCTTCTTCTGTCTTGAGCAGCGAATAGAAAGCTTTTGCCCTCAAGCTATGAACTCTTTTTTCTACTCTGAACTGTTCCTTTTTCCTTTCATCTTTCTCTGTTTTTATTTTTTCTAGTAGCTGCAGACATGTTGAGCACATATCTGTATTCGGACTGCCAAATCCTAAATTGTATTTGGTGTTGAAAATATGTCTGAAGTAAGA